AAGGTGAAGACAACCCCAAAAGTGCGTCATTTCTTATGGAGATGCTGCTCCAACTCCTTACCTACCCGTAGTGTTCTGCTACACAGACATCTCATTGATGACTCGAGTTGTCCCTGCTGCAATTTAGCCAGTGAAACAGCCATTCACGCAACTATTTCATGCCCAAGTGCGCTCCAATTGTGGATTAAGAGTGGTTGTGAGGATGCTCTCAAATTTATTGCATCTGATTCTTTCGGGGAAACTCTAATGAAATGGGCAGAACACCTTTCAGAGGAAGTATACCAAAGAAGCTTATTCCTCACTTGGTTTATTTGGTTTCGCCGTAACAAATGGGTCTTCGAGAATGTGTGGGATGCAGATGAAGCTCTTCTCCTCCGTCACAGCAGATTGGTTGTTGATTATGGTGAGTATACAGAGAAGATTTATGGTGGTACAACTCCTCTGCCTCAAGCTGCTGGAAGAACCGTATGGCAGCCTCCCCCTCCTGGTGTCACGAAGATCAATGTTGATGCAGCCATCTCTGAGGAAGGTTGGGTGGGGATGGGGGTTATTGCTCGGGATAGCAGGGGCCAGGTCCTGTTCTCGGCTATCAGCAGAGCTAAAGCTCGTTGGGAGCCTTTAATTGCTGAGAGCAAGGCTGCTCTTTTTGGTCTTAAAAAGGCTTGGGAATTGGGTTATAATGATGTTATACTAGAAGCTGACTCTTTGCAACTAGTATCGAGGATCAAGAAAAATTCTTTCTCCTTGGCAGCTGTGGATGGCATATTGGAGGATATAGTCGGGGTTAGTTCAAAGTTTTCTTCCATTTTTTGGTCCCATGTAAAGCGTGAGGGTAATTTTGTTGCCCATCACCTAGCTAGGTTAGTGTCGTATGGTCGTGAGCAATTGTGGGAATACCTTGTCCCAGATGAGGTTTCTTCTTATGTATTATTGGACACTCTTATTTTGAACTAATGCTAGAATATTGAAGTCTCACCTGGTGATAATATGTTGGCATCCATGTAAGAATGATAAATGTTCCCCAATTATGACAGAAATGAGACACTATCAGAGCCCAAACTGGTGCTTTTGACAAAATTAACTTCCACGGAATGCTCTTAATTGGCTCTTTGGATAAGCTGCTGCTGAGAATCAACTTTTTCTCTGCAGGCCGCAATGAAGGATCTTCAAGTGGCGAGTTACTTGCCTATGTGTTTATTGCCCAGCACAAAGAGAGAACAGAAAAGGACACAAGTTGAGAATATTAATAAGCAAATATATTGAGTCTGAAATCCATTATTAGGGAAATTGCAATGAAATACAGAATAAGAAATTACCTTACTCAGCCACACCGCAAACCATACAGTTCCTAAAGAACCAAAGGAGTAAAAAACTGAAGGCCAACCGTAAGTATGTATTAAATATGGTGAAAATGCCAAGCCTGTTACAGATCCAAGGTACATTCCACTATACACCAATGCCAATGATCTACTTCTCTCTGACACGGGAACCCATTTGGAAAGCATATTATTCATGGCTGGCATGGCAACACCCTAAAGAATTACAGAGAAAACAGAACTTAAACTATGTTATATTATGCTGATATCAATAATCAACAAAAAAAAAATAACCTACAAAGAAAAGTACCAACCTCGCCAATGCCCATGAAAGCACGAGTGACCAGTAAGAACGGCAATCCAAGCTTCGCAGCAACAGGAGTAAGAGCAGTAGCAATAGACCACCAAACTACAGCAAACCCAAGTACAGCTTTGCCACCTAGAGTATCTGCCCATATACCCCCTGCTATCTGTACAGTAAGTGGCCACTTAGCATATTTAACTTTGAACCAATCAAAGCAAAAAACTACCACATGTCCATAAGCAATTAGTTTTCACATGCTAATCTAAAAAGATGCCTGAGATAAACATACAAGCATATAAACTAAAGTAGCTTATCTTGAATAGCCTAAGACATATGATGGACACAAGACATAGCGGAAACAAGAAATGAACACAAAACACCCAAAATTCAGAGGATAGGAATTGTCACCTGTGTAAGAAGATAGCCCCAGAAAAAAGAAGACTGTATCAAACCAACAGTGGTTGGATTCCAGCCATACTCAGCTGACATTGGAAGTATGGCGATGCTCATATTAACCTGCCAATCAACATCTGTTTAAAGTTACTCACCCTAGCATTGACCATTGCAGTTGAATGCACATTACAGGCTTATGAATTATGGAGTATATACCATACTTTCGTAGTTTCATTATATCATAAATAAGGCTTGCTTTAGCAATCGATATGTACATTTGCAAGGTGACCAACAAACAACCTCCATATATACTTTGAATTGAAGCAAGCCATTGAAAAGCTCAAACTCCCTCCCCTTACATATATTGGTATATAACACATCAACTCTGAGTGCTATCAACCATCATTAATAATTCAATTACGACCCAATATGTCAAGATACACGGAACATTGAGTCTAATCAGTACATTTCAAGATCCTCCCAATTACTCGACGGTCCAAGATAATTAGAGGGGGATTAGCAAATACAATTGCCTTCTTTTACAACAACTTCATCTATCATTCTAATAACAAGACATCTATATGGCCTAGTCACTATTACGAATTCATGCGTATTAACAAACACATTTTTTAATGGAGGGACAATACTAGCAAAATGACACATAATAATTGCAATTAATTGGTTGTTATGGAGTAGTTGTTATTTTTGTTACTATACTAAAAATGGCTTAGTGTTCATCAAGTCAAGTCAGTCAAACTTCAACTACATTACTGTAATTTCCGTTCATTCAAAATTACTTGTCACGTTGATAGTGTAATTCTACAATCTATTCGGGATAAAATTCCTTGATGCAAGCCTAGATTATAAATAATCGAAATCAAACCCTAAAATTTAGGAAAAATAATATTAATAAAATAAATAATTAGCAGAAAAATAAAATTAAAAAAGGATTAAAAAATTAGTAAAGCTTACTCGATCCATATTACAAAGAAGAAAAGCGGAGAAACACAAAATCACAATAATCCAGCGTTTAGGAAATTGCTCCCACCATTTCTCCTCCAAAACGATATCGTTTAACGCGTCACGGAACTTCACTGACTCAGTAGGAACCGAGTCAGCGGATACCTCAAATGGCTTAGGTTTTACGTCAGCCCAAACTTTCCCGAAACTTCTTCTTTTCCCCGAAACGTTTCGAAATTCTGCGGTCACTAAATCCCGCCGGTAATTCGACGGATACCGATGAATCTCCGACCAGAGTAACCGGAAAGAAAATCGACGGCGACATATTGATTCTGGAACCTTCGGAGAAGTTAAGGAAGAGGAGAGAGAAAGTGAATTTGTGATGAGAAACGTTTCGGCGTTCATCGGAAGCGCCGGGAAGTCTCACAAGTACTGTACAATTCTTCAGTGAAGAGGAATTTTTTCCTTTTTTTTTATTTTATTTTTTATTAATTTTTTACTTTATTTGGGTTTTATCTGGAACATTTTATTTTGAGCTGATATTTTTATTTGCTAACCGGTTATCAATATGACACGTGGCATATAGAATAGATTAGATGGTGGAAATTGCGAGGCTAGTCGTTATTTGTAGGAGTGCTATTCATTAACGGAATTTGCTTCACCAAGCGCGGGTAATGATGACGTGTACGCAAAACCTTTTTTTTTCCTTCTTTTTTTTGGTGATTTTAAGGAGTTGGGAAATTATGTTCTACAACTCTACAAGTAGTAGTAGATCTAATCTAATGGATATTATGGTGCAACATATGAGAACTTTATTTTACATCCATCATCCATGATTTGTGTTTTCCGTTGGATAAATAGTTTGAATCAGAACTTCTATTTTATACTCCGTATATCAATAAAATTTATGAACAAGTAGTATTTATACTTCGTATGAGGTATGACTTACACGGTACTTTACAACTTAACAAATGCATAGTTTAAAATTTCTAATGTTCAAAGTATGTTAATGATCTTTGAGCAATATGATCATTATGCTACAACTAATTATTAGTACTTGATCACCATTTTTATGCAACTTAATAATTGTGAAATTTAACCAGTGAGATCTTGACATATTTTTTCAGATTGAAGGCTTATGTACATTAATTCAAATTCTCTATCCACATTTGTAATTTGTACAAATTACCCATGGCCTTATAGTTTTCAATTATTCAGACAAAAAAATTGGTTGGAGTTGGGCCAACGATCCACATTTCTTCCATCTAGTAAAAACAGGCCCAAAAATAGATTAACAAAAGTACAAAACCACATTGCCCATTGGGCTTATGAGCTAAGGAAAACTAAGAAACAGTCAGTTAAATATTATTTGGGTTTCAAGCTTACAATTGTTTGATCATCGATGCATTTTTTTATAACGAGGAATAACTCAAGTGGTTAAAGTTTCCCTTCTTATTCCAAGTGATCTTGATTTTGAGATTGATTCTATTACTAGTAAATTGTAATTATAAGAAATTAGAAACCATTTATAGCTAAGACCATCTCATATTAGAAATTACTTGTATAATTTAGTTAGAGCACTGGTAGTGGTGAGCAAAAATTTTGATCATGAGCATTTTTGATGGAATTAAAATTAGATCAATCATCACAATGGTGAGCAAATGGAAATTACAAGAAAAATGCTCATGAGCATTTATTAAAATGCCCACAGCATGAGCATATTTTGGTATGAATAGTGGTGGTTGTGGGCCCCACAACGTGCAGATAGCATTAAAAAAATTTCGCTGACCCTTCGTCAAAACGCGGTGTTTCGTTGAAGTGGGCTGAAGGGTGTGCATCAAAACGCTGTGTTTTGATGTTGGGTTGCTGAAAAAAAATTAAAATATGATCTGACGCGCGTCAGTCAGATGGCAAATGGGGTGCAGCCACGTGTCATGCGCAGGTTATTGACCAATGAGAAAATACTAGCCGTTTACAACGGTAATATTATTTGTAACTGATTTTCCGAAAAATATATTTGTTAAAAAAAAAAAAAAAAAATTACCAACGGTCATAAAATTAAATTCTCTATAAATAGACATGCATTTTGATATGTTTTGATATAATTTCGTAATCACCTAAAATCCTCCACTTTTTTATTTTCTTAAGCATTTTAAATTTGTAGAAGAATATATTTGTTGCAAAACATCCATATTGAGGTAAATTTTTTTTTTTTAAATATTTAAATTCAGTTATGTAATTAAATTAGTATATATGTGATTATATTGTAAGCCATGTAATTATATTGCATTATGTAATTAAACAAAGTTGTTGATATTTTCTCCATAAATTACTAAATTTGTAGTTAAAGTGTTGATTATTGGTTATTTTTTTTTTTAAAAATATATACATGTAGTTATGTATTAAAATTAGTATATATGTGATTTTTGGAAAAAAAAAATATTGTATGCCATGTTATGTAATTGCTTTATGTAATTGAAGAAAGTTGTTGATAATTTCTCCTTACATTAGTAAATTTGTAGTAAATAAAGTGTTGCAATTATTGGTTAATTTTATTTTAAATATATACATGTAGTTATGTATTAAAATTAGTATATGTGTGTTTTTTTTAAAAAAAAAATATTGTAGGCCATGTACTGTAATTGCATTATGTAATTGAAGAAAGTTGTTGATGTTTTCTCCATACATTACTAAATTTGTAGTTAATAAAGTCTTGAAATTATTGGTTAATTTGTTTTTTTAATATTAAAATTTAGTTATGACTTTAAATTAGTATATATGTGAATTGGTTAATAAAGTTGTTGATATTTTTTTGGATTTGTTGTCATTTTAATTTGTTTTTTGAGTAAATCTTAGTAAAAATATTTATCTTTTGTTTTGTGATGCAGAATCTTTTAATGGATCCAAACAACCCAAATTTCCGTCAACAATTTTCTGGTTTTAGTGATGATTTCCTAACTAATCCCGAGTTTCAATTGTTCTTGCAAAGAATGGGCAATACGTCTTTGCAACCACCTCCACGGTATCAGACACCTACTCAGTTTCCCCTACGAAACCATGTTAATGAAGAATGTACACCTGAAATTGAACATGATAGCAACACACAATTCGATGAGAGCGAAGAAGACAACGTACCAGAGACGCCGCAATATCCTCCACCAGTTCCCGAACTGAAATCCAACCAGGTTGTTGCACGAGCGACTCGAATTTGGTCAGTTGCGGAAGATGAAACTCTGATTGGGTTGTACTTGGAGATCAGCGAGAATGCTATTAAAGGCACGAGCCAGAAAGCAACTTCCCTTTGGCGCGATGTACACGCAGCATATCAACTTGCTCATGCGGAGAAGCCGCATATACTTCCACCAAGACCTATGAAGAGTCTGACGTCGCACTGGAGAAGGTTGGCAGCAGACACACTACAGTGGATATCTTGCTATGATGAAGCAGGTAGACTTCCGGAGGGAGGGAGTGGTTACAACGAAGCTGACCGTATAAAAAGTGCGTCGAAGCTTTTCCATCTCGCCCAAGGTCGTAATTTCGCTTTTCCTCACGCTGTTGAAATGCTTAATAGAGATCCAAAGTGGAGGCCAAAGCTGAGATGGTCCTTGTCAAAGGAGGAAAGAAAAGCTGTTCGTGATGTTGAGGAGCAAGGTAGTGCTGGAAGTGGGAAGAGGTCCAGAGATGATGGAGGGGATGAAACCCCTACGGATGGTTTTTCATCTGGAGGAATACAACGACCCGAAGGTGTGAAGAAAGCAAAGGCCAAGCGTAAAGGGAAAGAAGTAGCTTCGGACAGTGGTTCGTCTGAGCTTAGCGAACGAATGAAGGAATTGGCAACAATTCGCGAGAGGGAGGCCATTCTGAAGGAAGAGCGGATCAAAATTGAAAGGGAGAAGGAACAGAGGAAAAGGGAGGAACTTGACATTCATAAGATGAAAACCTGGTTTGATATGGTGCAAGCTATGAAGAATTCGCCTACGCCACTCACTCCTGAAGAAGAGTCGTACAAGAATTTCTTACTGGGTAATTTTTACTGGGTAAAATTGGGAAATGGGACATGCCAGGCTGTTCAATGATTATTTTTCCGATAATCCTGTGTACAATACCACCCAATTTAGAAGAAGATTTCGTATGCAACGACCTTTGTTTTTACGTATAATGAACAAGGTCGTTGAAGGTGATGTTTACTTCCAGCAGCGTAGGGATGCAACTGGAAAGTTAGGCATATCACCTCTGCAAAAATGTACAGCCGCGATACGAATGTTAGCCTATGGCATGGCTGCAGACGCTGTTGATGAATACGTTCGAATCAGTCAGTCAACCGCTCGAGTTGCCCTACAACGTTTTTGTGCCGGGGTCATTGACCAGTTCGGAACCGAGTACATGCGAAACCCTACAACTGATGAATTGGCCCGGATACTGCATCAAAATGAACTGCGTGGTTTTCCAGGCATGATAGGCAGCATTGATTGCATGCATTGGGAATGGAAGAACTGTCCAACGGCTTGGAAAGCGCAGTACGCCGGTAGGAACAAGAAAGCAACGCTAATACTGGAAGCCGTTGCGGATCAGGATTTATGGATATGGCATTCCTTCTTTGGTATTCCCGGATCTTGTAATGATCTTAATGTGTTGTACCGTTCACCAGTGTTCGATGAGGTTCTGCATGGTCGAGCTCCTCCGGTAAATTTTACGGTTAACGGCCATGAATACAACATGGCTTATTATTTAGCCGACGGCATTTATCCGAAGTGGGCAACTTTTGTTCAGGGTATCACATTCCCTCAACTGGCCAAAGATAAAATGTTCGCTGACCACCAGGCTGCCGCTCGAAAGGACGTTGAAAGAGCTTTCGGTGTGTTGCAAGCTCGATTTGCAATAATACGAAAACCGTCGCTGGCGTACGATGAGGACATACTGCGGGACATAATGAAAACATGTATCATTATGCACAACATGATTGTTGAAGATGAGCGCCACAACTACACTCGAGCCGAAGTTCTAAGAGCCTTCTACGAAGAAGATCAACAAGAATCAACACCAGCATCAACATCTACAACGCCACCGTTTGAATTCAACGTAGGCCGACCTACCAACTTTGATTTCAACGCATTTCTACAGCGAAAAGCTTCCCTCCGTGACAGAGAAATTCATCTATCTCTGAAACGTGATTTAGTCGAACATATTTGGCAACACTACGGGCCACGTAATTAGGGAGAAATTAGCACGACTTAAATAAAGCCAAGTACTATGGCGTAGCTACTTTTACTTGTTGTGTTTATTTTATTTCCTAAGTTTAATTACGCATGACGTTGCAAATGTAATTGGTTTCTAGTATTGTACCGCTTTTAAAATAAATAAAAACATTTAAGAAATTTTGAGCTTTTTTTAAATTTTTTTTTATATAACGTACTTAATTTTACGACAAATTTTAACGATAAAAAGGACAAAAATAAAAAAAATAAGTTACACAAATTTTAACTAGTTTTTATTTATTTGGAGTAACATTGTTAAAATATAAATGAAATAAATAAGTAAAGAAGTGTTGTGTAGGAGAGAGAAAGTAATGGTGGGGTATTGAAAAAGTAAGAGAGAGAGAGTGGTGGGTGGGCAATTTTTTTGCTCACCATTGGGAGAGAATATGTGAAAAAAATTTGCCCATGAGCAAAACTTATTTCTTGAGAGAGAAAGTGGGTAGAGAGAGAGTGGGTGAGCATTTTTTTTGCTCACCATTGAGAGTGGTCTTACATGGAGATTCAAATGATGAGCTAATGTTTCGTGAACATAAGACATATATCCATGATTCAAAGTAATGGGCTTTCAAAACTTTTGTTGTCATTACTGATTGTGGGTTATTATACAACTATTTGGACTCCTGTATTTGCTACAAAGCCCATCTAAAACTATTAATAAAATCTAATTATGCTCAAAATCATTGCATTATTGTTAATGGAACTGTAAATTAGAAAGAAAATGGCCCTAGCTAGTAGACCTTGATTCTTGAGAGGCCACTATCAATCTAATTTTAAGTGACTGGAGGGTATGTATTAAGTATTATTAGATGTGACGCATTATCAAAGATAGGGGTCATTTGTTGTATGATTATTACTATTATGCATTAATAAACGCAATTGCATTAAATTAAAGAACTTTCTACAAAGTATGAAGAATTTATTTCATGTGATTTTTTTGTAATCTATTGGAACCGTCACAATCAAATATAAGTAGATAATTTTGCTTTGGCGTTGTATATGCACCATAAGTCCATAAGTGTATAAAAAAATTAACAATACATGAGAAATGACATTATTGAAGAATTAGACAAGCATGTGGCAAACCATTCAGTTGGACAGAAATGTAGACAATATATGCCCCGCAAACTTTATATTATAACTTGAATGAATAACAATAAGTGTTTTTGATCACTCATCCATTGCCTAAAGTTAACTTCTGAGAAGTCCATTTTTTGTACAGTATGATATAATGTACTGTATAGATTTATTCTTTTCAACTTCCATCATAATTTTCTGGTTGCCCGCTAGTAAGGAAACAAACTTCTTCAACGACTTGCATATACATGATTACGTTGAGGAATCAAACCCATAGATTTTTGTATTTTATTTTTGAACCACGGAAGTATAAATAATAAAAAAAAATCTAAGTTGGCCCAACTGACCCGGCCTGCGTGTTTAATTTCGTAATAATAGTTTATTTTGATCCCAAAATATGACTAATGATCCTATGTTTAGGTCATTTTGACCTTTGGCTCATTTGAATTGCCATAGCCCAACTCTAAATTTCGGCTCGAAAATGTGGTTCATCCAATGGCTTAATTCGAAATTGGCCATGGTTTTTGTTACTAGAACAACATGTATTAACTCAACATTTTATTTGATTGCAATCAATTAATGAAATAGTTTATGGGTCGGTTTGATAGATAAGAAGTTTATGGGGTTCAACCATTCAAATACAATCAAATGATATGATCCAGGCCACAAAAATTGATATAACCTACAATTCTACAAATTAGTAATTTTGAGTAGTCCAATTTTGATACATAGGTCTCTAGACGGACACGAGGGTTAAGTAATAAGTATAATAGTACAACATTCATACAAAACCATTATTTTGCTTACTTTTGCCTAAATAAGTTTGTTTAGGGAATATTCACAAAAGTTTACGAGTAGTTTAATAAATCAACATCTTTAAAAACCTCACAATCAAGCATGGATTCCACTTAAATGGTAATCCCAAGTACCCTTCATCCTTCCCACATGCAACTTTTTAATTAGTGCTTCAACACTTTTACACAAAGCAAACAATATTATGCGTATAATTGAGAGCCATTATCAATATCAAAATCTTTATTCATATTTTTTTTTTTTAAATTGGAACAAATTATTGATATTTATCAATTTACTTTATTTATTTTTATGTTTTTGTGGTGCCAAATATTTGCATAGTTTAAAGCACGGGGGAGACACATAGGCCTCCAAAAATATATTTGGACCCAAAAGAAAATCATGGAGTTGGCCCATTCGTAAAGAAAGGGATTATTGTAATTTTTAACTCAGAAATCAGAAGACATACATCATGTGGCCCACTTAGTTATCTTCCTGTAAAATAAAATCTATTAATTAAATTAATTTAAATTAGGAAAATTAGTGGGTGTAAAGTTTACGGACTATCTAAAGAAAAATCAAAAGTAAAGATTACGGACCGACCTCTAAAAAACAATAACAAAGAAAGTAAAATTTACGTACGGACTGTGTAACATGAGATTATGAGTTGGTATTCTTGGTACAGCTAGATTCTTGTAGAATAAAGATGACATTTTTACTATTTTAGGATGCTGATAAAATTGCAAGTTGTAAATGTCATGTATATGATCATTTTGGCCTTTGGTAAAAGCAAGTAATAATGGAATAATATAGAATGAGACCTTCATAAAGGTTAATTAACAACGAACAAAAATGTTTAATAATAATAATAATAGATCATATAACGGATATGATATGGCATAATGTTTAATTGATGTACTGTGGAGTATGTATCATTCTACAAAATATATACTCCGTATGTTAAACGATGAACGTGTATGGTTGAATTCATTTCCCTTTGGTGTGAACTTAATTAATTTACAATAATATTTTCCACTTACATTTTCCCTAGAAAATCATGTGTCAGACAATCTAAACTCCTTAATTAGAGTGATTTCTATTGATCAATATTTATAGGGTTACAATGAGTAACCTAATCATATTAGGTAACTATAAGATATGTATAGATATCAAAGATAATCTTATACAAAATATATCCTAAACCTAGGATGAGAATATTCTATGGATATTCTCTATCACACCCCCGTAGTCGGAGCGGGAGAAAATCGGATGCTCAGACTAGATCTGAATCACGCATCGAGCGGTAAGGATAGTATGGTAACACATGATCAAAAGAGAAGTAGTAGACATATGCCGGTGATGATGATCAGAAGCAACAGCCACGACCTACGTAGAGTAGAGATAAGCACTGCTAGGCCGGAGGAGAAGGAGAAGAGCCGCACACAGACTTGGGCTAAGTTGCAGATCCAGAGAAGAAGAAGCTAAGGGATCAAACCATCATCGGGAAGAAGACACTACACTACTACGGGAAATCACAGTTGAAGAAAAAACAAATAAGATAGCATGAATCCCACACCACTTAACCACTAGTAAGTGTCTACCTCTAAAAAAAAATTGACCTACACAACAAGATAAATTCCACCAAATTAAAACAAGCTAAGTAGCGGTTGGACTTAGAGAATAACAAATCTCACCGCATGTACTTGTGATAATTAAAATTAACAATAAATTGAAAAGGTAAAAAATATAAGTGTTGTTAGTGCCAAAAATCCAACACTCCCTTTAAGTTATTGTAGTGTAGTTGAACAAGGCTCCTGCTAAGTAGAAGGGGTCAGGAGCAAGACTACAATGCAACTAAGGTGGTAGAGGCCAACAATGACATTGAGATTTTCCATTCCTAAATATTTCCATTCCTAGTGCTATTAACGACTCTTATATTTTCCTAATTCCTAAATGTGATTGTCCGTGTACTATGAAAGATTTTAGGCTGATAGGATTGTGTAATTCTATTTATAAGCTAATTACTAAATGTATTTCTAATCTCCTAAACCCCATTATGGATGAGCTTATAAGTCCTTTTCAGTCTAGCTTCATTCCTAATAGGTTCATTGAGGAAAACATCATCATCATTAAAGAAGTTGCCCATCATTTTAATAAAGTTTCTAGTAAAGCTAATCTTATGGCTCTCAAGATCGACCTTTCTAAGGCCTTTGATTGTTTAGAATGGAGTTTTATTAAAGACACCCTTCTTATTATTAACCTCCCTTCTAACATTGTTAATCTTATTCTTAGTTGTATTTGTACCCCTAAGATTTCTCTTCTTTGGAATGGGGAAATCACTAATTCTTTTTCTCCCTCAAGGGGAATTAGGCAAGGTGACCCCCTTTCTCCCTATATTTTCGTGCTTTGTCTTGATCGTCTTTCTTGTATAATTCAAGATAAGGTTGATAATGGTTCTTGGAAACCTATGAAAATTTCTAGAAACATTAGTATATCTCACTTATTCTATGCCGATGATGTTTTCCTTTTTGGTAAAGCAACCACTAACAATATTGAAACCATGATGGGAGTACTTGATCATTTTAAATCAATTTCAGGTCTATCTATAAATATTCTAAAGTCTTCTGCTATTTTCCCTAGAAAGATGAATCACAATGTTAGGAGGTCTATTTGTGATGTTTGTAATATTACTAATACCACCAATTTTGGAAAGTACCTTGGCATTATTATATCTCATAAACGTTTAAATAATTTAGATTATTTTCCTCTTTTAGATAAAACTTGTGCCAAAATAAAGGGTTGGCAAGCGAAACTTTTGAATATGGCAGGTAGATGTACCCTTATTAAGTCAGTTTTGAATTCCTACCCTGTTTATGCTATGCAAACTAGTATTTTACCTATAAATGTCATTAATGATTTACAAAAAAAATGTAAACAATTTCTTTGGAATAGAGTCAATCGAACTAAGTATATTCCTATAACTAATTGGAGGGTTGTTTGTGATCCTATGGCTAAAGGTGGTTTAGGCATTAGGGATTTAAAAAGATGGAATATTTCTTTCATGGCTAAACTTGGATGGAAAATTCTTACTCAAAACAATAAGTTGTGGATTAATATTTTAAAAAGTAAATACCTTAAATATTCTAATTTTATAGATTATATTCCCAAGCCCTCGGATTCTGTTATTTGGAAAGATATATTAGCTGGCCGTGATGTTCTTAAAAAAGGAATAATTATCAACATAGGAGATGGTAAGGACACCTCTCTTTGGTTTCACCATTGGATAGGAGACTGTCTCTTATATTTGATTCCTGATATTCATATTCCCGATTCAAAAGGTCATTGGCGTGTTTCTGATATTATTAGAAATAATCAATGGAATTTGGATAGTGTCAT